TTGTCAGAAGCGAAATCCTCTACCAGCCATGGCTGCTATAAACAAAAGGCAACGTTGAGAGACAAGAAAGGACTTTTGGGAATTTAAAATGTGATTGCACCAGTAAAATAATTCGACAAAAGTGAAAGATAAAATTGGGAATATTGCCCAGAAAGTAGAATAAAAAAAGAAATGAAAAAATGGGAAAGAATAAGAAAATTAGAGGACTAGCTGGAGGTTCAATATACAACTCATAGGAATGCCAATAACAGAGACCAGAGAAAACAAAGTATATAAAACAAACTATAAAAAAGGAAATTTCACAGAATTGAGAGACACTAGTCTCCAAACTGAAAGGTCACACTGAATGCCCAGCACAATAGATGTAAAAGGAATGACACCAAACTACATTATTGTGAGATATCAGAATAATGAGACTAAAGAAAAGATCTAAAAGCTTTCAGAGGTAATAAAACAGGCGCCACCCAAAGGAACAGGAGTCATAATAGCATTGAACTTCATAATAGCAATGCCGGAAGCAAGAGAGTGGAGCAATGTCTTCACAGTTCCAGAAGAAGATGATTCCCGTTCTAGAATTCTGTGCCCAGCCAAGTGGTCAATGAAATGTGAAGGCAGAACATTTTCAAATATACTGGGTTTCAAGCTTTTACCTCCTGTGCACTTTCCCTCTGAAAGCCATTGGAGGATGTGCTCCATCAAAATGAGAGAGGAAGTAAAAAAAAAGAGAAAGACCCCCAGGAATACCCAGGCAGTTCAACATAGGACAGTCCGTCTATGTATCACGCCACACTACTAGAATGAGAGGGGAGAAAACACGATCATCTCAATTGATACAGAAAAGGCATTTGACAAAATACAACACGGTTTTACCATAGAAGCAGAAAACTAGGAACAGGGCATCTACAAACAACAAACAAACAAAAAACCCTCAAACATCGCACTCAATGGTAGAAGACTGAAAGCTTTCTCTCTCAGATCAGGAAGAAGACAAGGAAGCCCATTTTAACTTCTGCTGTTCAGTATTGGACTGGAAATTGTAGTCAGAGCAATTAGATAAGAAAAAGAAAAGTCACCCAAATTGGAAAGAAAGAAGTAATTACTATCTCTCTTCGTAGCTGACATGATCTTATATATAAAGAATGCACAAGAAAGCTGCTAGAGCTAGTAAATAAAGTTGTGGGGTGTAAGACCAACATGCAAAAATCTCTTGTGTTTCTATATACCAGAAAAACTTTTTAAAAAGTTAAGAAAATAATTCCACTTACAATAGCATCTAAAGGAATAAAATGTTATACCTAGGAATACATTTACACAAGGAAATGAAAGACCTGTGCTGAAAGCTACTAAACATTACTGAAAGAAATTAAACAAGGCCTAAATATATGGAAAGACACCGTTGTTCATGGGTAGGAAGACTTCATATTGTTAAAGTGTCCATACTACTCAAAATGATCTACAGATTCCATGCAAATCCTATCAAAATTCCAATGGCCTTTTTCGCAGGAATAGAAAAGCTGATCCTCATATTCCTATGGAATTGCAAGGGGCCCCCCAAAACCCAAAACAGTCTTGAAAAAGAACAAAGTTGGAGGACTCAGGCTTCCTGCTTTCAAAACTTACTGCAAAGATAAAGTAATCAAAACAGTGTAAGACTGGCATAAAGACCAATAGAATAGAATTGAGAGTCCAGAAATAAACCCATACATGTATGGCCAGTTGAGTTTTGAGAAGAGTGTTAAGTCCATTCAATGGGGGAAAGAACAGTCTCTTCAAGAAATGGTGCTGGGACAACCGTATTTCCACATGTAAAAAAAAAAAAAAGTTGGAAATGAACTCAAAATGGATCGATGACCTAAATATAAGAGCTATAAAACCATACAACCCTTAGAAGATGGGTTGGAGGAGAAACTTCCAGTTTTTATTTCACATTCTTCGGTACGTTGGAATTCTTTGATTTATGCAATACCATCATGTGGGTTTTTTTAAAACCGGCTTTGGGAGGGCAGGGGAGGAAGAACGTGGTGGAACACAAACAGTGATGGCTCTGGAAAGAGGCAGGACCTGGGGCTGTGATTTGCTTGGTGAAGGCAGACCTGGGGCTGTGATTTGATTGCTGCACTTGGCCCGCCGCTGCCCCTCTTTGGGCGAAGGGACAGTCCCACGCTGATGGGTGGAGTGGTGAAGGTGAGGAGTGGGGCATGCAGGGCTTCTCCAGAGCACATTACATCATCCAGTTTTTAAAGCACTGATTCGGAAGTTGTTGACATTTTAATGAAAAGTCAATGGAGGAAGCAGCATGGCAGTCAGACCCTGAGTTACCTACTGAGGAGGGGTCACTGGGTGGGTGGAGCTTTTCTCAGCAGGCCAGGCCTTGACCTTGCCCTGAGTTAGAACCCTCAGTCTGGGCAGCTTTAGATTAATTAGGGAAAGCCTTCCTTCCATGCAAGCTGGGGAGAGCTGAGCCCGGGTTCCTGAGGTCTCCGAAGGGCAGAGCGGGGCCTGGGTCTCAGCTCAGCCATGGTACTCTTCCCAGGACGGTGCCCTGGCAGTGCCAGAGCAGGAGAGCTCTGGGTGGCAGGCTTTGGCTCAACACAAGAGAGTGCCAGAGGTGTCAGGCCTGAGGCTGGCTCAGGAGGGCATGAGCTGCCCCTCCCTGGAGGTGTTCACAAAAAGGGTTAACCACTGAGGCTGGTGGTCCCTTCAGGGACAGGGAAGAGGGGAGGGTTGTATGAGACAATCCATTAGAGCCTTCTCCAGGCTCTAAGAGAAAGGAAAAGTGATTCAGCTGATGGAATCAGAGAAGGCTACGTGGGTGAGTCAGCATTTGAGCTGGACATGAGAGGGTGAGGGTGAGATTTCTTAGCATAGAAATGCGACCTTCCCTGTGAAGCAAGACACGCACCATCATCACCAATTCCCGTGTGGCTCCGGGAGGTGAAGTCAACTTGCCCAAGGTCACACAACTGAAGTTGTGCAGTCGCTTTTAAAAGTTCAGAGGGTCCCCAGGGCAGGGCCCGCGGAGGAGCCAGTGGGTGCAGCCCACATCGTGATTCAGGTCCAGCAGTTAATTAGTAACCGGAAAGCCCTGCAGCCAGGTCCCAGCTGGCAGGACGGGAGGTTGAACTTGAGCTGGTTTGGGAGCCTGAGCGAGTGGGTGACAGGTCGCTCCTGGCTGGAAAGGTTGTTCCAGCAATTCAGGATTGGGGGGAACATGCAGAGAGACAGGAGGGCAGAGCTGTGCTAGGGGCTGCTCCCCAGGATCTGAGCTGGGACCCAAGAGTTTTCAGGTGAGAGGCTCAGCTGTCAGCAGACACCTGCCTGCTAGCCCGTTGGTCTGCCAAACTGACCAACTGGTTACCTTAGCTAACTTCCTTCCTAGCTACCTATTTACTTCCTTTCCTTCCTAACACCCTCCTTTCCAATTCCCTTTTTTCTTCCTAACTCTCCTCTCCCCCCTTCCTTCTTTCCTACTTTTCTTGCCTCCTAACTTCTTTTCCCTCCTTTCTTTCCTTCCTGCCTTCCCTCTTAACTAGCTCTCTGCCATCTCAGTTTTGCCTAATTTTCTTCCTTCCTAACTAACCAATTTGCATCTCCACTTCCATCCCACTGCACTGACTTCATGCCTGCCTTTTCTAAATTCCTAACATCTTCCTGACATTCCAGGCCCTGGGCTTTGGAGTCACGCTGCCTGTGTTCAAATCCCATTTCTATCATTGACTAGCTATGTGGCTCGATCCAGCCGCTTTACCTCCCCAAGCCTCAGTGTCCCTCCTCCTTCAAACAGGGATGATGATAGTTCCTACCCCATGACGTGGTGGGAACAAGATCCGATCAAGCTGGCACTTGGTATGCACTGTCATTGATATGTCATTGGCCTGCATTGGGCGGGCAGGCATGTAAGTGAATCAATTGCAGTAGCGTGAAGACAAATGGGACAACAGGAGCAGGTTGCAGAGAAGGGAGCAAGAAGCCTTAGGAGCCTTAGAGAGCTGCTCAGGTGTGGGAGTCACGGTCAAGGTGATGGGGAGAGTGATGGTGGGCAATGACCATGTCAAAGTTCCCGCCACATCTCAATACCTAAGTATTGTGTGGATGGCAACACCGCGAGAAACTTTACACGATGGTACAAAGATACAAAATAACCTAACCCACCTTGGGTCGCTTGGGTCATGGCCCTACAGCCTTCTTTCTGGGGCTGTGCACCAATGCACGTGTGCATACAGGTCTTTTTTGTCCCTTAACAAAGATGGTAGCCCTGGCACACCTGCCATTTTGAGACCTGCTTTTTCTGCTTGACACCGTAGTGCATCTGTGTTCCTGTTTCGATTTACGTAGGCTTGTATATCGTTTTTATTTGTTGTTGGGTAATTTTCCATTTTATACATGTCCTGTCATTTATCTTATCAATTCCTCCCTTGATTCACTAGTCAAATATGTACTGAGCACCGACTGTGTTCCAGGCCCCATTCTAGCTGCTGGGCATTCAATGGTGAATAAGAGGAGTCTATGCCCTCAGGGCGCTGATGTTCTCATTTGAAACAGACGATGAAGAGCTGCATGAGAAGGTGGAGGGATAAGTGTTATGAAGTAAAATATAAAGCAGAAAAAGTAGATAAGGAATGAACGGGGCTGGGTTTGCAGTAACCAGCCATCCTGGTTCGTCCAGGACTGTACTGGTTTTGACACTCAAAGTCCCACCTCTCGGGAAACCCTTTAAGTCCCAGACAAACCAGGACAGTCGGTCATTGGTAATCAGAAAACGCCTGCCTCAGAGGTCACATTTGAGCAGACACCTCAGTGTCGTTAGTGGAAGCCAGCTATGCAGATATCTCGGGGAAGAGCATTCTAGAAAGAGGGGAAAAAGTAAACGCCACGGGCAGGAGGCCAGAGGGCACTCTGTGTCTGAGGGACAGCAGGAAAGCTGGAGAGGCTGGAGGGTCGTGAGAGGGACAGCAGTGGAGACAAGGTGGAGATGGGGACGGAGCCAGCTCGGATGGAATCTCCTCGATCATAGTAAACACTCTGAACTTCGACCCTACATGTGATAGCCAGTCACTGGAGTCTTGAACAACAAGGTCACATGATCTGATTTACATATTAAGAGTCACTCTGGCTTTTGGTGGAGAAAGATTGTAGTGAGTAAATCAGAGAGTCAGAAGGGAAGCTGTTGCAGTAATCCATGCACTGACGCTGGTGCCTGAGGCAGGGTGGTTGCAGCAGCGGTGGTGAGCAGCCGGGATTTCTGGATGTACTTGGAAGGTAGAGTCTGGTGGGACTGCATGGTGGAGTGGAAGTGGGGTGAGGGTGCCAGGTTTCTAGAATGAATTCCAAGTTGTCGGCTTGAACTTCTGAGTCGGTGGTAGTGGCCATCACTGAGGTGGAAGGAGCAGGCTAGGGCAGAGTGGAAGGAATGTGAGTGCACACTTCTTTGTTTTGGGCATGTTGCAATTGAGGTGCCTCTGAGTATCTAACTAATGAAGCGTCGAGGAAGCAGTTAGGTTTAAAATTCAAGAATTCAAGAGAGAATCAGGACTAGAGAGAGAGACACATTTGGGAATCGTCAAGTATAGTTGGTACTTAATGCCATTAAACTGGTTGAGATCCACTAGGGGACACGTGTAGATAGAGGTCCAAGGGCTAAGCCCTGGGTCAGGCCAGTGTTTAAGGGCAAACAGAGGAGGAGAATCCAACAGAAAGATGGAGGGAAAGCAGTCAGTGTGGTAGGAGGAAAACCAGGAGCTCCTGAAGCCAAGTGGGAGAAGCCGGTGTGTCAACGCCTTCTGAGAGGATGAGTGAGAGGAGGATGAAGGATTCATCGCTGGCTCTGGCACACGGAGGTCACTGGCCCACTGTTTTGGTGGCGTGTGGGGTTGAAAGCCTCTTTGTAATGGGTTTAAGAGAGAAAAGGAAAAGGCAAGGAGACTGAGTTCAGACAACTCTTTCAAGGAGTTTAACCAAGAAGAGGAACAGAGAAATAGACAGTGTCTAGGGGGGATGTAAGATCAAGAGGGAGCTATTACAGCAGGTGCTATTCCGAAGGGCCCTGGGGTGGAACATTTAGGTTATTATTATTATCGCTATTGTTTTCCTGTTCTAAACAGTGCTGCTGAGCGAAGGCCCCATCAAGGGCTTGTTATGGAAAAGAAATGTCCTTGTTCTGGGTATGTGTTTTGTCAACATGACATCCTGCCCATCTGTGTATTGGTTCAACATTTTCTATTTTGTCGGAAGATGGAAGGCTCTGATATTGTTCATTCGGGGTTTTTCTTGGTTGACACCCCCAGGCACCCTGTGCCTCAGAACCCACAGAGAACCCCTAAGATCACCGGGCTCAGGTCCCTCCCTGGCCAACCCTCTTGGCCCCAGCCCCATGAATTCTTCCACTGTGGTGAACTGCAGAGATCTGGGTGTGGCATATGGTAGCCACACAGAAAGTTCCAGAAGGCCAGGGGCTGTGTCAGGCTCTGTCAACTCCTTCATTCCCCAGAACACCCCTCAGGAGCTCCAGGGGAGAGGAAGGACCCCGTGAGTATCTGATGATCACATCAGGCAGCAAAAACTTCATGAGCTAAGATGCCGGCTGGGACCATGTTTCCTGCCTCTTCCCCAGCCAGACAGCCACCCTGCCCTGGGGACAGCAGGCCAGAGCCCTGGAGGGGCCAGCAGAGAAAGGCCAAGTGCCTGGCAGTCAAAGACCAAGGCCAGCTGGGCTGAGCCGGACACCTGGGCGCCAGGTTCCTCTGGAACACCTGCGGGTTCCTGAGAGGCAAAGGGCTCTCAGCTGCCGTGGTTAATGTCACAGGACCTCATCTTCAGCCCCAGATGGTCTACACTGGGCCTGGATAGGCCCCAGGGAGGATATCTTCTTACAGACAGATCCCCTACACACACACACACACACACACACACACACACACACACACACACACGAGATTTACCAATATCCACCAATATGGATACAGACACAATGACACACAGGTGGTTACACTGTACCTACCACACATGTATCAGTAGGCACACATGTACACACCCACATGCAGACTCACTCATACACACACAAGCACGTTAACATATATAAAGATACACACTGACATGTTGACACACTACACAGAGACTCCCTAAAGCACATACATAAGCACATACTGAGAATACAGTCAGGGATGCAATGATACCATGACAGCTATACAACTGTGGTCACATGACACACACTAACAGCAGCACATGCAGTCATCTCCACATAGACACACACTGGCACGAATACTGTGACATCCAGGGACACACTGACACACCGACAAACAGAAGCGCATCTATGCACGAAACGCCTGCACACACACATCACACACACACACACACCCTGACCCATATGCTCACACACATTCTAACAAGCCCCAAGAGTCTCCAGGGCTCTCCTGCAGCTGTTGCCCACCCCCCAGGGGAAGGCGATGTCCCCAAGAGAACAGAGGTCTCTGGTCCCATCTTAAGCTCTGCTGGGTCCTGCATGACATCAACAGCCACCTCGCTGCTGCCGGGAGTTTGGAGCTGGGGCCAGGCCGGCGCCAGGCACAGACACTTTGGCCCTTGTTGGGAGAACAGAGAGAGGCTCTCTTGTCCACTGCCCGTCCTCTGACTCCAACTGCTGGCTCTCTCAGTGGCCTCTCCTCAGGCTGCTGCAGGTACGTGGGGCTGGGGAGGCCAGGGCCTGGCAAGGGGCCGTCAGGGTCAGCAGGAGAGGGTCAGCAGCTCTGGGGGCTGTCAGAGGGAGCACCAGGCAGCTCTCTCTTTCTCTCTCTCTCAGGGCTCCACAGGGCTGGGCCTCTCCAAACAGCTGGCCAGGGGGACTCCCTCCCTTCCCCTGTGGTCACTTTCCCAGCTCCCAAGAAGGCCATGGGGTGGTGTCTCCAGGAGCCCCCTTGTAAAGATGGGTAGTCTCTACCCACAGAGGGCCAGGGCTGTGATCTTGGGAGGCCCAGCACCCAGCAGTCCCTGCAAGCAAATGGACTGCCAGGAGAGATCTCGGCTCTTAGCCTTGACCTTCCAAGCAGGGATAAGGCTGTGGGGCCCTGGGTACCCTGAGCCAAGGCCTAGATATGCCAGCTTTCTCTGCCCTGCAGGGTTGGAGCAGGAAAGACACTGTGCTCCTGGCTGCATAGACCAGCTGGTCTGTTTGATCTCAAACAGACACTGGCCAGGCTTAGGTGTCTCTATGGATCTGGCCCAAGGCCCCCAAGGCAGCTGCCCTTCCAGGAGCATTACGCGGAAGTCCTTGTGGCAGAGAGATAATAACACAGAACTCAGCCTGGGGTTCTTCATAGGAATTCAGGGTTGCAACCTGCCTGTATGGGAGCCTGGGGAGGCCAGCCTGCCCCCTCACAAGTTGTGTGACCCTAGGCAAGTCCCTTTCTAGTGAAATAGGGGCAAGGGTTCAGACTTTATGCTCCGCTAGGGTCCTTCCAGCCCTAGTCACCCTGGACTTCTGTAATGGCCCCGGCTTACAGGGACCATGCTCCCCTGGCTATCTGCAACCCTTGAAAAGACTCAGCCTGGGAGGGGCCACCCCCGACCATGCTTTCGCCTTCTCTCCTGAGATGTTTGGCTAGAAAGCCTGGGTCCAGGGGATATCATTTCCTGTCCGATGTAGAGGTTGCTGGCCTCTGGGGTAGAAGCACAGATGGGGTTGGGGAGGGGTGGCAAAGGCAGCAGTGCCTGAAGCCCTAGACACGTGACGCTAACTCCCCAACCAGCTCTCTCATATCTGTTCCTCCTTGTGCTCCCAGCCTCTACCTGAGCACGGTTACAGAATGAACTCTAGCCCTAGCCTGGTTGGGACCCCGAGTCCACAGGTGAGTGCGTCTTGGTTCCCACCACCAGGGGGCTCACTTCTACAGCTAAGAAAATGAACAGACTCCCCGTCAGCCTGGTGGATCATCCTAGATAGGATGGGGCGAGACGGGCAGGGAGGGACGGCCGGACAGGAGGCACCGTGAGCTCACAGAAGTGGGCCATTTGCAGGGTAAATAAGAGACTTGGGAAAAGGCTTCAAGCAGTAAATGAGGTAGAAAAGTCATGGGATTGGCCTTGAGGACACCTGGGTTCTAATCCCCATGGGGCTGCCTGGTAAGTCCTTGGACAGCTCTTCTCTGGGCCTGTTTCCTCACCTTCACAACTGGCATGACAGCCAGCAGCCTCCCAAGGCTGTTGTGAGAAGCA